CACCTCAACTTTCTCACCACACCTTAACTCACCACACCTCAACTCACCACATCTTAACTCCCCACACCTAAATTCACCACACCTCAACTCGCCACACCTTAACCTCCGCACCTAAATCCACCACACCTAAATCCACCACCCTTAATTCACAACACCTCAACTTTCTCACCACACCTTAACTCACCTCAACTCACCACACCAAAATTCACCACACCTTAATTCACCACCCCTCAACTTTCTCACCATAACTTAACTCACCACACCTGAATCCACCACACCTAAATTCACCACACCGTAACTCCTACACCCAATTCCACCACACCGCAGCTCACCACACCCAATTTCACCACATGACATGATATCACTTGATGTGGCATCAAAGGCAACATCATTTGGCATAAAATGAACCAAAATAAATAAGATTTAGATAGAGGTAAAAAAAGGATAAAAAGGAAATACAACTGAAGAGTGTGCGATGTTATATTGTGGTGTGTTATGCTTCATATGTTATGTTATTTATTCTTATGTTATGGTTATGTTATGTTATGCCAAGTACTAAGCTAAACTCCCCTCCACTTAACTCATTCCAACTAATGTTATTTTAGCTCATTCAACTTACATAAACTATCCTTAATTTTATCGGTTGAATTTCAACCGCTGGGCGAACACTAGTATTATTAAATATTGCATTCAAAAGCGATACGAACTAATTGAACCGAGCTGATATGAGACAAGCGGAAGTGAGTAATAATTTTTCAACACTAATTTGTTTTAATGCATGAATGTAGATATACTAGCGTGGACCGAAAATCCGCTTTTTATTACCTCCCTTTTTTAGTAGGGATGTACTACATATGTAATATTGATGCGCCTAAAAGATGTAGCGATTTCTAAGTATTCTCAAGTTACATACCGATTATATTGCCGTGGTGACCAATCGGCAACATCATTCCTTTAATGTCAATTTTGGAATAAATAAGTTATCAAAAATGCCCAAACTTATATATTTCGCGTCAATAATATTATCCAAAAGCGTCTAATTTACACCAAAGACGGGATTGAAAAAATTTGTAGGAAGAGCCCATAGCGAATTAAAGAATGAATTCCTTATCGAAGTCCAATTTTGTATACAAAATAATAAATGAAGCATCTATTAAAAAGAATCAAATTATTACAAATATCGCCCGACGAAGAACGACTATCAGGTACAAAAAAACGACTCGCCCAGTCGAGTTGACTTCGGCGATTAGAGCGATACGAAATCGATACGTGGCGATATTACCGGCAACAAATTTTGTTTCCGAGGGTGACACGTTTTCTTTTTTCCGGCAACCAAAAATTTTTTGGTGGGTATATTTTATATTATGTGTGTGTGTCCGGGCACTCGCATTAAAGTCTTCAGCTGTCTCTTTCGGAAACGGGCCTTTGCAATTCCAGCAGAACTTGGTGAAAGTATGCCTGTTTCATTAAGGTGTGGCTTGCTCTACTTTTTGCTTGTCTATCTGCAACAATTTTCACTTTCTTACTCCTCCTCCATTGCAAACATTTGCGCCTAGAAACACTTGCACATTCCATCTTGATCGGTCTGTAAAGGGCATGCCTTCCAATCGCTGGCTCTAGTGGTAGTTAATGGAAAAAGCGGAACGTTCAGAGCTTTAGTTGATCAGGATCTTATTATATCCACTTGCACCAACATCAGTGACTCTGATCCCTATTTACGACTTCATGAATTTCCACGCCTGTCTTAAGTGCCAGTCATCCTGTAAAATCTTGCTTCAATACCCGCCTATTGCCTGGTATCATATTGGCTACATATATGTAGTAAGATTACCGAGGCTTTCCTTGCGTGCTCAGTTTCATTCAGTATTTTCCAGAGCAGCGCCAATATATATTAATTTTGTGAAAGATGTAGTTCCAGCTGTGAATGTATTCAAGAGAGGTCACGAGCTGTAACAGAGGAAGAGGAAGGTCTCCTCTGCGATGGAAGACCAGGTGGGGAAGGACTTGGCACCACACAAGGTTCACACTCTAAGACCAGGAATCATAATTTTGCTTAAAACCAAATGAAATTGACCCGATACAAGTATTGTTATATATTCGGTATAAGCCCTGTTTCCCTGTCGACCTAGGTTTATGCTTGGACTCGAAGACGTATGGACACAAATGCAAAAAGTAGAAGCTTTGACATACAGCTCAAGACTGGAAACTTCAGATGTACTTTAAGCTACCACGACATGTTATTTTTAATTGAAATTTTGACAATAATGCGGCATAGATATTGCTGGAAAATAAATCTGCCTGATCAGGGGACTAAACATATCTACTGAGGCTGGCATACATTAAGGCTTTACATTCGTATACCACTCGAAGACTTTAAAATGCGTGCGTCACAACTCCCAGAACAAAAGATATTAAAGGCAATCGGAAGAACTAACGAGCTTGTCAAGCACGGCGTTCTCCTATAAACCTAACAATAGCTACGGACATATCAATTCTTCGACACCGACGAGGCGTGCTTTAAATCGAAGTTTGACCACAAGTTATCTCACATGTAAATGTACAGTTTTCGGTGTATTTAGAATAATCGATACATAGGTTTTTGCATTCATACATGGGTAACAGATAAATAGAAAATATAACGACGTTCACGAACCAGTGAAGCATGGCATTTCAATGTGTTCCTTGCAATGCATTTACGCGCATTTTAATTCATCTGTGCCACTCCCAACACAAACTAGTCCATCGTGAAAATGCGCCGGCAAAAGTCGAAAAATATATGTGCCTTCTTGCTCACAATCTGCTTCCAGTACTGTCCACTGCCGCTGTTGGCCATACCAATCGAAGCCAGCAGTAGCATATAGCACGCCAGCGAGAGCGGATATTTATTACGTCCTAGCCAACTGGATGCGCGTTTTTCCTCCGGCTCGTCATCGTCTGGGAAACGGCTGCCATAGAAAAGCAAGTAGCGCACGCGCACCAACTCAGGCTTGCGTATCTCGATTAGCGAGTTCAGGGCGTTGGTGAACACATAATCCGGATGGCTGTCGAATTCGCAAAGCGCCACGCACGAAATCATCGAACCACAGCTGGATGCACCCCAACCGGCACCGTTTGGACTCTCCTGCAGTGCGACGTTCAAGTCTGTGGTCAATTTTAAGGGCACATCTACATCGTCGCCAGCATTCTCCGTATTTGGCGGTGGCTGTTTGCATGCATCAGCTTGAGTCAACATTGCAAAGAAGCTATCGAGGCGGTTGCCATGAAATGCTAACTTCGGTGGTTCCTCAATTTCGATGCTCGTTGGCTCCTCATGTATGGCTTCGTGTATCAGCGGCATGTTGCAGACCCTGAACACGTGCGTGGGCCTTGGTAGCTGTTCACTCTGGCACATGCTGCTCAAAATCACATCGAACTCATTTTCATCCACCAGATTCAACATTGGTTCGCGTTGCACAATCAGCACATGATGCAACAGATCCAGTACGTCCGCATCGAATTCCTCGTAATTTTGTTCGACAATATTCTGCAGCAACTGATTTGAAATTTTAAAAATTGCCTGCACATCAGCATCAAAATACCTTTCTAATGATATATAACTGTTTATACCTTAGAAGTATAGTTTAGCCGTAAAAGGGGTGTAAAGGAAACATGATTGCCTATTTATATATATGATGTATTGAAATGATGGCGAAACAAATTATGCAACAGATGACCTGCGGGTTATATATGTATGTACAAAATTTAATACTTTAGACCACCTGAAATCAGCCAAATGTGCATGAAACCGTTGCATGCCACAAAGCTGGTCATAGCATTTTATCATTTACATGCCACAACGGTTGTTAATTAAATTCGGAACTAAATTGCATTTGAATGTTGCAAACACATACATACATACATACATACATACATATGTACGTACATGTAATGCAGGCACACATATTTAGATTTGTTTGTGCTCACAGCCGCTTATCGCAGCACTTTGTGCAACATCGACAAATTTGTATAAGCATTTTTGTGTTGTTGCCTTATTGGAGTTGTATGTATGTAGTTTTGTTGTAGCTTTTGTAGCATTTATGAATTGAAAATGAATGCGGGTATTTGCAGCGGTTGATTTGGCGAAATCAAAAAGCATAAAACAAATATTTATTGTGTGGCAGAGCAATCAAACACAAAAATATGCAATGAGGTCGGCGATGGGGCGAAGGTTGGGGGCGCGGGTCGGTGCATCAATGAAGTGGAATAAGTTTTCGTGTCTATGCTTGTCTGAAATGTGTACACACATACATGTAAGTACGCGCATATGATTACTTGCATTTACATTGACATGTTGCACAGCGTTGCCAACATTTAGGTGCTGCAATCAGTTGCATGCAACAGTGCATAAACCGCAAAATGCAAATACTAATACATTACAAGCGATATGAATTGCATTTGTCACAATTTCTCTTTTTGCCCGCATTTTATCAAAAACAACTACCCCAAAAAAAAATGTTTGTAGCACAAAAAAGTTATCTTGCAGAATTCACTTCGACGGTTGCATTGCTGATTTAGCTGCTGCTGGTTGCTGTTTATCATCGTTAATATTTTTATCACACTTTCTGCTCGGCATTCTGGTCCGCAGGCAGCTGTCAAATTAATTTTCTTTTTTTTTCAGCTATTATTTGCTTGCCATCCAAAATTGCGACAATTTTGTTGAGTATTTAAAATTTCCAGCACATTTCGTTTGCGGCAAAATTAAAAATGCAAATTTTCATTTTCATTTCAAAGCAGCCGTTAGTGCAGTGGTGTGGCAGTGAATGATTGATGAAGGATATATCTAAGAAAAAAAAACAGGAAAAGTAGAAAATTTTTCAAGTCGGGCATAACAAATGTACAAGTGATTCATTGATTAAAAAGAACACCGGCTTGTGTTCATTCTGTCGGCCCTTTATTCTGTTCAAATATATGTATTCCCCATAGGCTTCGATTGTATGCTCCTCTCTACACATACCGCTATAAAGAGTGAATTGCAGAGTGGAAGTTAAAGGATTTGTGTTCTGTCAAGGAACTCTTAAGTTAGGGCTGCGCTAATTGTGATGCGGCCGTCTCGGATTACTTCCAAATGGTACAGATTAGAGTTCCAGGGAACAGTTTTATTGCAGCTAACTATTTGGATGAAAAATTAGCTAGAGATAGGTTACCCTTGAGGTCGTATCTTCTTACAGGGAGGATATATAAAACTGTCTGATGCAACCTTTGTACTGGTGCTAGACACAGATAAGCTTCTAGTTTGCACAGGCAGCCCTGGCCGAAAACTTTGATAGAAAAAGTTGCAAAGTTCCTTTCGATGGGTACTTTACCGCTGGCCATCAAAGGAGTTTCTACCTGGCCATGCGGTTAGGCTAATATCGTCTCGGATCCCAGCTGCAGTAGCTGATTAAAAGACACGATTATTTTTAATGCCCGACTTCATCATTTCTCATTTTTGCCATTTAATGCCTAGTGGAAATCCAGCATTAGAAATTGTATATACATAGCTCATATTTTGGAGATTACCAATGGCCTGCTAGACTTCTGGCGGACTCGAGCCCACTTGAATTGAAGCGCGGAGCTACGAAAGTACTATTTTTAATGACTTATGTGTAACATAAATACACTTAGAGGATTACCATTCAGCCGAAGAACTCCTCTGCCTCCGAGTTCAGTATGCATTTGGCTTCGTCGTGTTTTTGGCTTTGAATTTCTATTGAAGTTCGGAAAAATTTCCAAGACCCAATAGGTATTGTGCTCTTTTTGTGTCACTCCTATTCAAAGCACACCACTGTCGCGGCGCATCCATTGTTGTTGCTGTTGCTTTATGCAAAAATAATGCGCTAATATTTATGCTGCAGTTGGATTTGCAGTGCTGCATTTCGAATGTCTATCGTTTTTTGTTTTTTTTTTTCGCCGAGCATTCTAACTCATTTTATTTGCGTGTTTGCGTTTTTGGCGCATCCAATTGAAAGCATTTGAATGAATTTAAAATTTTTGGTGCAACCATAACCGGCAATGGTTTGTATATTTTATGATAACTTCGGTACCTTTATGGTGCTTTCAACACACACACTAATACATCTACTCAGGCAAATGTATGTAAACATGGAGCATGGAGAAACAATTAAAATTTATAAACTACATATTTTGCCAAAATAAAAGTATCTACAAATGAATAACTAAATTTCCAGTAGATTGCTTGGTTGGCGCTCGTTCGTTGTTTGGCCGCTTAACTAACTAACCGGTCGGTCAGTTGATGTCATTTGCAGTAGTTTTGTGTTATTGTTAATAATTTTGGTTTAGAATAGTTACTCTTATATGTAAAACACACTTTGTTGCGTATGAATGCAGTTTGTTTTTTTTTTTTTTTATTTTACTCTATGTGTGATGGTGTAATAAAGTTTTAATTATGCAAAACTGATTTGATTTAATTGCAAATGAATATTAATTTTTTAAATGCCAACAAAATTCATTGAGTACATAAATTAGTTTAATTGTAATAGTTTTAACTATTCAGACGTGCATAATGCTGGCGATGAATAAATTTGGCAATGAGGCGTGATAAAAATTGAAAATAGCAATGCGTATTGTGTGTGAAATGCCACCACTTTTGTAAATTAATTTTTCCTAACAAACAAATCGTGGTGCAAAGCGCAATAATATTGCTAAAAAAGAAAATGCTAAAATATGTACATACATGAATGGGTATGCGAATAGTAAGGCGCTATTAGTAGCCTGATTATCACAGTCAAACATTTTTGAAAATATCGTCTCTCATCGTTCTCTGTAGTTCTGAACTTTTTCTTCCATTTGGTTTTGGTTTTTTCTCTCACTGCGATAGAAACACAACAACAACCACATGAAAAAGTTCTGAACTAAAACGATGAATCCGCCTTGAGAGACAGTAATAAAATATAATTTTTGGCAAAAAAGGTTCAGCATGTCTGCTTTCAACATGACATATGAATTCAGCCCGACCTTGGTGCTTTAGAAGACTTCCGAGCTAGAGCCGCTTCATAAAACTAAGGAAAACTTTCCATGAAAACAGCTTCTCATGAAAATATGATCACCGTTCGGAGTCTGCGTAATACTCCGGTTATTACGGTTACTTCGATATTAGGAAAATCGCAATTTAAGAAAACTGACCAAGAATTAAAAAAAAGGTTTTGAAAAACCAAGTCAACCACCCTAATATATATTTGTATACTGTATGTACATATGAACAATTGTGTTCAAGTGAGCTGCATATGCACTGATTATAACGTTGATCTGGTGACCAGTGGCGAGATTCAAGAAGCCGCTGAGCTAAACTTTAATGGTCAAAAAAAAACTATAAGCGAAGAAATAAACCGCGTATAGGTCCACAATGTCGTGCACTAATTACGCTTTTGGAATCAAAAAGTTAAACTTCCTTATGGCAGAATTCATATATTGCTCCAAAAAATATGCTCTTTTTTTATATCTCCAGTACACGTTTGTGATTTTCAACCAGAATATGAATTAGTTTTTTGGAGCTATAAGTCGATGGTACTCATATCCCAATCATGCATATTGTTCTTCTTTCCTCTTAAATATGCATTCTTTCTATTTCAATCACCGATTAAGAAGGCGCAAAATTTTTTGAATTTTTGAATTGTCATAAGGACTGACTTTTAATTGTACACAGCATCCTAGGTATGCCTTAAAGGCTCTATATCCATGAATTCACAACGATAATGTTGTAAAGAACCCTCCGTAAAGTTAAAGAAACAAGTTGTGTGGTTATATTAAAATTAAATCATTTTTACTTATTTGGAAGAGCCTATATAAATTCATAGAGAAGAAGAATATAACAGGATATTTAGCTTTTTTTTACTTGGACCTCATTTCAATAAAAAAAGCCGAAGTTCTTATGACTTTGCAACACCCGTTTAATAATTTTAAAGTTTATAGTCTGCTTAAAAACATCCTTTTTTACTTCCAAATGGCCATTAAACGGGCAGTGTAGCAGGCTGCTCCTCCCAGTTGTGCCAAATGTCAAGGTTGCAATTATGTCAGAAAACTCTGCCGTTGGCTTTCATGCCGAGGATAATTTAAAATATTTCTTTGCATACTCACACATATGTACATACATACATGCTGCCAACAACGGTGGAATGCAGTGAGCGCCGCGGTCCGATACACAGCTGCATTGGCACTCGAAAGCGATTAAATGCAAATCAATAAAGAAATTTACATTTTATTTTATTGTCATCAAAAAGCGATCAGAACGAGTACGAGAAGATGGAGAAAATAAAAAGAGATAAGTAAATAAATAAAATAGTGTAGAATGAGGCTTTAGTTATTGTACGAGTATTATTGGATGTTGCTGTCGATTTTGCTGCAGTAACATTGCGATTTATGCCGGCTGGAGAGGCATCTGTGATGCGAAAGTACTTCGGGGTTTGCGCAGAGTTCAGTGGATGGATGGATGGCAGCGTGCATTGCTTGGACTCCTCTTGTTGCTGTTACTGTTGGTTTTGTTTTTGTGTCTGCATG